GGTACAGAGTCTTTTGAACCAATTGATCAACCATATTTCTGGCATATTCGAGATTCATTTGCTACAACATATTGTCTTACAGGGACATCAAATTTTGCTAGTATATATGCCTTTGTCATTTTTCTTATGTCAACAAATATATCAAGTAAATGATTTGCAATTCTTTACAAATGAATACTTTTTTCAACATCTTGCTCACATTGATTTTTGTGAGAATCAAAGTAAGATAAAGTTATTTATTCCAAAAAATTTATTCCATATGCATGTTCGCGTCCATGTCCACATCCACGGCCTTGTCTTGATATTACATTTGCTTTAAATAATGTTGTACCATTTGCTTCATGTAATGGTACTAAAACCAATTGGATATAGCTTATGATTTTTCATTAGTAGTTTATTATTTTGTCCAGTAATAAGCAATCAAGATATAAATTTTGAATGCTTTTTGAAATCACACTCACGATATTGCTGTCTAATGAGCACATTCGAGGCGTGGAATGTGCAAAAAGTTTTCTCAAACATATCTTCATTGGTGATTTTTTCTCTGTACAAAAGTTAACTTTGAACATATTCTGAACAGTATAAAATTGTACTCACTAACACTTTCAACGATTTACAAACAAAGGTGCACCCATTCATAACGAGTTTTGGGGAGGACTATAGACCTCTGATGATCAAATCTTTCAGTTAATTTTTTTTCAAAGAACCTGTAGATCTTTCTCAGTGAGGATGAAGATGATAACGAAGGAATATGAGCACTTTTGCATAATCTTGCAGGGATTCTTTGCTTCCTTTTTTTATTATCTCTCACAAATCTTTAAAGATGATAGATAATTTTGCCAGATATATCAAGTGCAACAAATTCAAGTTTTTATAATATTTGTCATTTGATTAACTACACAATTTAGTTTCGAAGAATATGATCAAACGCCACATAATAGTTAATCAAGTAATATCAACATGACATAAGTTACGTGTTTCCCTTCATGAATAAATACTAATTTAAAATAATATGTTTTTTGAAACATGTGCTACTTCGAGAGCACATTGTATTTTACAATTATTTTTTTAAGAACAATATGTCAATATTCTTTTAAAATATTAAAAATTATAATTTATGCTCTTTAGGAGAAGGTAATCTTAATCAAGTTTATTAATTATAGTGTTGTTCTATTTTAAGAGTAACAACAAACTATATATAGTAGATAGATAAGAGTACTAAATTCATAAATTATACTAGTATTAGAAGAATAGGAAGTAATAATTAATTGAACGACAAATTCTACTTCAACAGACATAGTTTTACGTGCAAGAATATAAAACTATTACACACAATTTTTTTTAATTATTATTAAAAGATGTGTTGTGGGATATTAATTCCTATCTTGAACATAAATTGAGAGAAGACAGGAATAAATACTGAGAAACAAGAATCGATACACAAATACACGAAATAGTAGAGAACAGATGAATTCATACACTGATATGACATTAGTAAGTTAAAAAAATAATCACTGGAGTGGAAAGTAATCATTATCTTTGCATGCTACCTTTGGCTGAAATAAGTTAACAAAACAATAGAATTACATGCAAACAATTATACACAATCATAATTAATTATGCAAACACTTTTTTAGGTGTAATAATTGGCGGTAGAATTTGGGTATACAAGAAACAAATCAAGGCACGTCGCATAATGATTGCGGCATAAATAATATGATTACAACGTAAAATTCACGTGTTATCAAATTAAATTTGGTACATATGATAGACTATTATCCTAATAAAACTTATTACCTTCTATCTAACTCACTTTGAGTTTGACAGAATTGTGTTGATAACGTGTTATGAAAATATAGAAAAAGAAAATAGAGAATATAAATCAATCGATTTGTGTGTATTTTATTAAGAACTAAAGATCTATATTTATAGGGAAGAGTCAGAGATACGACGATAATAATTTCTAGAGTTGTAGGGTACAATTGTCACTTACTTATAAACTTACCATTTACAACAAATTTTTCATTTTAATATTTTATCTCGTGCAAAATACGTTACATATTTAGCCCCTGTCTGTTATAAATTAGAATCAGATTTTGATAAAAATTGATAGAACATGTATTTGAAAAAATCTTGGCCCTATAAAATCTATGATTAAAATTAATTATTGACTTTAACTTATATTTCAACAAAAATTTTTAATGACAACTTATACATTCCTCTCTGGACAAAATTATATGTTCCCATGTACACATGCTTAGGACCGGCATTGTTGAGTTGGATGCAAAATTGACAAAACATAAATTATTGTTTAGCAAGCAAAGCTAAAAGGGAAGCAAATTTTATTTTATTTTTCAATTTTTGCATAGAAATTATATAAAGGAAAAAATAAATAAATAATTGGACTGTGTTCGCCCCCTGATTAAGCGAATAATCATGAGCAAACATCATCTTGTAATTTTAGCTCGACATGCACTTGTGATATGAGTGTGTTGAATTAGGTTATCATAACTCGAGCTCAATCCGTCAATTTATACGAGTTTGGAGTATGATTAAGACTTTGAAATAAACAACCCCTATTTGGTTTTGATAAAAAAAAAAAAAAAAAAAATTCTAGTAAATTTTAATATGTAATTAAAGAGTCGTAAATCTCATAAAATATGTGATTAAAATTTATTTGCTGACTTTGATTTTAATCAACTATTAGCTGAACGAAACACGTGCAACTCAAAAGATCAATTGTTGAGTTATTTATTTATTTATTTTTATTTTTATTTTTTTTTAAACACGCGTTGATATATATGGTCCCAGTGTTTTAAAATATTATATACTACGACAGGAAAGTCGAGAACCTAAAACCTAAAAAATGGGGACTACAAGAAGATTCCAAGTCAAGAAGTTGGCCGTTTCCAATTTACAATCTTGACTATAATTAGGATAAACCAATCATATTCAATAATTTTGTCGGATATTTTTATCTTGAATTTCAGTTTGTTAACTGTGTGTATTTTAACTTATTGAAATTAATCTACATGTTTATCAAACTATATAATTCACTCGGGCCTACGTCACAATCGAATTTGATGGTGCAACACAACTCCGTTTACATTTTCATACAAACTTTAAACAAAGCGAATTCAAGCTAATTAGATCATCGTAACATCAACTTATGTTGATCTTACAACTCAAAGCGAAAGATATTCGCAGAAGCTTCAGAGGCCATACAGCGGAAGATTCCTTCAAATAGCTCATCACGAGAAGTAGTCCTTTGGGTCTAGATTCTCAGGCCTTCCTTCCCCTAACCTCAGGAAAATCAGTGAGTTGCCCCCACTTTGACTATTGAGTTTTCATCACTCGGGTCTTTGAGTTCCACTACACTAAGACGAGAGAAGTCGGGATTTTTGGCATCCTTCTTTCTTTGTGAGTTCATATGAAACTGGTGACATGCTGTTTATTTATACCGTCCACCTAAATGTAAATTGAAACGTCATGTAAATTTAAAATTGATGACAATTTTAACTTTTCTTGATGTGCCAATTTATAATTAGATGAACAGTAAATTCGACAGAAAAAATGGACAATGGATCTCAACACGATGATTTACACCTCTTTATACGTCCAGCAAAGAAAGGCGACGTAGAAAATATCAATAATCACGAATTGATTGATTTGTAACTACACTGTCACCATCTTTAATATTTGTTTGTATTAACCCTAATTAAAGTTAACAAATCAGTAGGAGACACATGGAATAAATGTGGGGTCCAAGCATGGCCCTCACCGTGTATGGACCTATGGCCCAAGCACCACGCTAGTTACCCGAAAGGATTGATGACTGTCTATACGCGTTTTTATTTGAGTCTTTGGTCAAACAAATTCCATGATTTCCTTTCTTGACCCAACCAATCCGATAAGAACGAACGAGAACCAACCAAGAATTAATAAAACATTTGTTCACCCCTGTAAAAAATAAAAAATTCACTTTTCGTCCTCAATCTTTATGAAATATAATAAATTTAGCATCAATTTTTTGAAGCATAATCATCCCCAACCTTTCAATTCTATAGCAAAACTCATGATTCTCTCCATTTTGACCACTAAATGAAGAATTTTTCCTTCTCTAAAAATAAACAAAAATAAAAGAAAGTAGTAAACAAGAAAAATAAGAAAAAAATCGCAAATACAATTACATAAATAGCACAAATAAGTCTCACCGAACACAATTAATACATGTTTGGTGGGGGATTAGAATAATATTTTTAATATATTTTGATAAAAGTTGATAAAATGTGTGGTTGAAAAGTTGTGAATATCATAAAATATGTTGAAATTAATTATTCATTTCGATTTAAACTAAAATTTTGATTTAAATTCCTACCAAATAGGAGCTTAATCTTCTCCAACCAAATTCACTCACCAACATCATCGTCAACACCCAACCCGCCCATTCCAATACATATGTCCATTTGCTTTTCTTAGAGCATGCAATTCAAATGCTATTATGAAGCATAAAAAAGTATTTCAAGATTGTATTCTCCAATCATCAATTCAAACTTGTCCTCGTCTAAAATATTGCTAATTCAACAATTTAAGACATGTAGATAAACTCCAAAATTCACGGAATATTTATTATTTTATCTTTAAATAAGCAATCCCAAACACAATGATAATTCCTCCGATTAATATCAAGGGCATAAAATTGTCTACCCATGGTTTGTGTTTTTTTATTACTATAGGGTCTTCACTTCTTAGATAGTTTTGATCCTCAAATCTCTTCCATTATATTTCTCTAGTGTATGAAAATTAACTTGTCATCTTGAGGTAATCTGCATAGTTATTAATTTGATGAAGGACTGGTTTCACCATTTGCAAACTTATTGAGGGACTTTCAACAAGATACACTATACTAAAAGGGGTTATTTGAAATTATGAGGTAGAAATGTCATTTCACAAATGGTGGTAACCAGATAAAGCTCTTCTCTTTCCCGGGAGAAGGATTCCAACTCTCTCTCTCTCTCTCTCTCTCTCTCTAGTCTCGATTACGGTTCGATCAAATAAATCTTTCTGAAATTTGGAAACCCAATTTTTTCTGCAGAAGAAGACTGTTGGAGCCTACCTTAATCGAAACGACACGGCAATTACAAAACATTTAATGGGGGAAAGGCATTTATTTCCTCCCCAACAACATCAGCTGTGCCTACTTTAATTCCTCCATAAATATTGTTTCTCAAGTCAAGCTTGTCATATTCATCATGCCTTTTCTCTATCTTTAATGGGTTCACTCATTTCCAGTTTTTTTTCCCTGTTGCAGTATGCTTAGAGCTGTTCAGATTTTTCCCCTCCTGTTGCAACAATGACTTTTCACCAAATGATCATTTGCCTAGTTTTTTCAGTTTTGCTTGTTTTATCCAGTGTGCAAAGTAATAATTCGTCTCAATGTAATCGATCTTGTGGTGTGGCGAAAAAAAGGCAAAAAGTGCCATACCCATTTGGGTTCGATGATGGTTGCGGGATCAAGTTGAATTGTATCCGTGGAAATATCCAAATAGGTGATTTTCTAGTCGAGAACGTGACATCAGATAATATCATGATCAGTCTTCCGGCGAAGTGCAATCGCTCGATTGAAGAACTCTCCCAGCTCTTCGGCCGGAACTACGCTATGACTCGGCGAAATGGTCTTCTGTTGCAGAATTGCAGCTCGCCTATAGGAGATTGTGCGATTCTTAACTTCATGTCGAAGTCCCATTTTCCCGGGTTTGTCAGGTGCGGTTCCTCGCGGGAAAATAAAAGTTGTTTTTCCGGGGGCATTAATGGCGGCGCGGATTTTTTAAATTTTGGTACAGTGAAGGAAAATGGGAATTGTAGGATTTTGTTTTCGTCAATTGCGGTGGATTTGAATGAAAATGGTAATAATAGCGATAGTACAAGTGGAAGCTCCTCCGTGGAGATGAATTTTGAGAAGGTGGAGCTGGGGTGGTGGCTGGAAGGGTTCTGTAATAGAAGTACTTGTCACCCGAACGCGAAATGCACAAAGGTTCTCAATGGAAACATGAAGGGGTTTCGTTGCAAGTGTAATCCTGGGTATGCTGGCGATGGTTTCACTGGCGACGGCTCTAAAGGTTGCCGGAAAGGTTAGTTCGATATCTTTTTCGAATTAACTTTTATATTTGGTATTTCAAATTTGTTTTATGTGCATATATTTAGATTTAATGCTTGAACATTATTAATAATTCTTAAATGTTTTTGTGATGAAGAATTGATGAAAAGGTTGATCTAATGAGAACATGGTCTTAAATATTGTGGTAGGTGACAAAGAAGATTATTTTTCAGGTTCCTTCCTGGAATTTCATGTTTGACGAAGTGGCATTTGATAAATTACGACGCCTCAAAAGATTTGTCAGAGAGTTGTAGTGTTTATTGGTGATAATCCATGACATTGATATAAAAAAAATTAGATAAAATTTGACTTTGGAATTAATGCATGATGTTTATATGCAAAATATAATTATGATTTGTTAATGAGGTTTAAAAGTTACATTCTCTGTTAGCTTTGCGAATTGCTCGTTGAACATCGTAAGCGTCAATGTCTCTGGAATTGAAATCGATATTATAATGACTAATATGAGAGGAAGCACTTGCTTATCTGGAAATCTGGAAGGATTTATATTAATATGCAAAAGTCAGAGGAAAGAGAAGACATTGATTACCGAAAGAGATCATATTCTAGTATCGATTTACTGATGGATCATATGAGCGTAAGATTGAGTAATAACTGTTTATGTACTCGGGAACTTAACATGAGAGTTTCTGAAGTTGGCAGGTCATATTTTGGGTGTATCATTTAGTTTACCTCCGACAAACCAAAAATAAGTACTTAACCATGCTCTATTAATGAAGCTATGTACCTGGGACTGTATTGTTTATAGAAGGCGTCGTTTGTTTACCATAGTTTTTCCTTGCCCATGCTAAATGTGATAACTGGTAAGGTGATCTTGAGTTGAGTGTGCCAGTAGTATATTTTAAATTAACTTATTCAAAGATTTAGTAAACTAAGAGATATTATTTCCAATGAACTTCTTTCGATTAGGGAAAAAGGTATCAGCTTTTTTATTTTACCAGGCACAAGTCCACATGATTGACTAGCAGTGTCCATATTACATGTTTTGATCGACTACAGACTGCACTGAGTGTAAAACCTGTATTTGACTGCAGTCTATCCAGGTATGTGCCTGTCATATAAGACAAAGGCCTATAAAACCGTGTGCAATCATCTGAGACCTGCTTCACAACTTCAGTTCTGAATACTTAACATGCATCCTACTGATATCTTGTTTCCTGTGTTGATGCTACGTCTCAGGATCTTGCAACGCTTCAAGGTACATGTCTGGTGAATGTGGCGGAACTAGAATAGGCATTCTCATTACAGGTACTTTTCCCTGAACTTATAGTTATGCAATCTTGATTACATCTTCTGGGTCCTCATAATGTTGTTCTCCTATAGTTTTAGAAGACACCAATTACATTGTTCCCCAAGTTCTCTCACTATCTCTTTCCTGCAATATTTGTTTGTTTTGCTTCTAGTCAAGTTCCTTAACTACATCAAAATAATTTATGTGGTAAATGTGAGAGCTTCTCTTTGCTTTATCTGGCTGATTCTTGTACTTAATCCTTGATGCATATTTTCTGGGGCCGTTGAATTTAGATGGTTGTTTGAAGCTCAATCAATTCTTGGTCCCATAATTTGCTGATATTATGTGCAATTTAGTTTGGAATATTCTGATGCCGTTGCTCGCTTGTTTTTTCTTGTTATCCAGTCGTCAGTTCTATACAAGATAAAAATGATTTCCGCACCCCACACATTCAGCTTTGTGATTCTAGTTTTGGTGCAAAATGACTTCTTTATTCAATTTCTAAGTTCATTCTTCAAACAACTGCTTTACTGTTGTTTCTGGTGATAATATTTTATGCTACAGCATTTACTGTCCACACGATTTGGATATCAAATTTTTTCTGCACTTGTCCCAACATGGTTATAGGTAAATAACATCGGAGTAAATTCACTATGTACTAAATCATGCTTAAAAAAACTTTTACTTAGTCAAACTCAAAATCAAAGATACTTACACATGGGCCATGGCAAATTTGGTGGGTTTTCTTGATCATTTACATGCCTCTTCAAATAATGCTCATTACGAAACAATAGCGCTTCAAAAAGATTCTTCCTTTCCTAACATTGTCCATTCTTTTCTAAATTGAAGGAATTGTTGCTGGAGCTTCATTGGTGGTTATTCTGGCTCTCGTCTGCTATTGCATAAAGAGACACTCTAAATCTTTGAAGAGTCAATTGAGTGCAAAGCGTCTGCTTTGTGAAGCTACAGGCAGAACCAGTTTCCCATTCTATCCTTATAAAGAAATTGAGAAAGCCACAAATAGCTTTTCCGAAAACCAGAGGTTGGGAACGGGAGCCTATGGCACAGTTTATGCAGGAAAGCTCCACAATGATGAGTGGGTTGCAATTAAGAAAATAAGGCATCGAGATCGTGACAGCATTGAACAAGTAATGAATGAAATCAAGCTTTTGTCCTCTGTGAGTCATCCAAATTTAGTTCGCCTTTTAGGCTGTTGCATTGAGAATGATGAACAGATACTTGTTTATGAGTATATGCCAAATGGTACCCTATCTCAGCATCTGCAAAGAGAGAAAGGTTCTGTGCTACCATGGACAATACGTCTGACCATTGCCACTGAAACAGCTCATGCAATTGCTCATCTTCACTCAGCAATGAATCCTCCAATTTACCACAGAGACATCAAATCAAGTAATATATTATTAGATTATAATTTCAACTCAAAAGTCGCAGACTTTGGTCTTTCGAGATTTGGCATGACGGATGATTCCCACATTTCCACAGCACCTCAAGGGACTCCTGGCTATGTAGATCCTCAATACCATCAAAACTTCCATCTTTCGGATAAAAGTGATGTTTACAGTTTTGGAGTGGTTCTAGTAGAAATCATAACAGCAATGAAAGTAGTTGATTTTTCCCGAACTCACAGTGAGATTAATTTGGCTGCACTTGCAATTGATAGGATCGGGAAAGGTCGAGTTGATGAGATAATAGATCCTTTTCTCGAGCCAAATAGGGATGCTTGGACGCTCTGTTCTGTACACAAAGTGGCTGAGCTAGCCTTTAGATGCCTTTCTTTTCACAGGGACATGAGACCTTCAATGATAGAGGTGGCAGATGAACTAGACCAGATCAAGCTTAGTGGTTGGGCACCGTTGGATGAGAATATATGTATGGGATCTTCAGTAGCGTCATCTTGTTCTTCACCGTACCTGGGAAGTGAGAATTCACTAAATACTATGACAAATAAAAAGTCCGGGATAGGAAGTAGGAGACTGGTTGTTTCCCAGAGGGCTGGGGTTGTCCTGCCCACAATGGAGGAGGCAAAGGACAATTCACCTGTTTCTGTGCAGGATCCTTGGTTAAGTGAACAGAGCTCGCCATCAACGAACAGCTTGTTAGGTAATAGAGTTCATTGACTCAGGAATTCGTCCTTTTGACACTTATGAAATTATAATTATAAGAACATGGTGTGGATATAATAGTGGCAATATAAGTTTTGTGTTTACTTTTTATACTCCGAGGAGGTGTATTTCATATTTCTGCTGAGAGATTTGTAAGGATGAGCTGATAGACATAAATGGTATATATAAAGGTCCTTCATACTTTTAGACTATAAGAATCCATTCCATTATGCTTTATACATTTGTGTTTTTATGTTTCTCCAAATACTGTGTAAGCTCTGTACAGTTTATGGTTCGCTGGGATAACACTTGCGGAAACAAAAACTTAAATCTTGTCCTTTATTTTGTTGACTCCACTACTACACAAGTAACATTCCATAGAGATGACACTGTGAATTAGACTACATTGTTGACTCCACTACTACATACGTAACATTCCTTTAGAGATGACACAGTGAAATAGACTCCATTAATGTGGATCAAGCGGAAAACTTTCATTTTAGCTGTCTCCATGGTTATGTACATAACACCAACCCAAAAAATCTCGCGCTTTTTCATCAGGCGCGACTTCTTGTTCTTGTAGTTTAAGCATAAAGAATAATGCTATTCGTAGTGAAGGCTACCAGTAATCGTCCTACATAACATACACATAACAATTTATTATTTGATGCATCGATAGTCTTCACTATGAATAGCATTACTCAAACATGAATGCATGGTTGGTGGAACAAGAATCGGATTTGTCTTTGTACCTTTTCGAGGCAAAAAGCATTGCAGCCAAACTACTGCCTAAATTATAATAAAGCGAATAAAAAATTTGATTAGTTGAGAATGGTTTAACATAAAGTTAATTCAAGAATCAAACAAGTGTCGTTTTATTGCAATTATTTTTGACATAAACTCGGGGTAGATAGATGAGGAAACAATGACTTGCTTGTTTATGCAACAATCATTATTATTTGGCTTGATAAGTACTGCAGTATTAGAGACAAATTATTTATTGAATGCCCAATGAATTCCAAATCAAAATCTTGTCAAGACAGGACATTCCAGCAGTATAAGAATCATGGAGTGTAATGGAGGTTTCATAGTATATACACATTTTCACAACACGAGATACACTATCCATGACTTCTTGGATCAACAACTTGATGCACTTTCCGTGTTTCGGCACTTGAATATTGCCCCACAACACGAGCATGAGGTACAGTTGTTTCTCCTCGAGCAAGGGCCTCAACATTATCAAGAAAGTATTGCCGAGGGAGTCGACCCACAACATTTCCCTCTTCATTCCCATCCTTGTCCAGGAATGCAAAATGGGGGATACCCTCAACACCAAACTCGTCAAGCTCTTGTTCCCACTTTGTGTTATCAACGTTCAGCATAACAAAATTAACTCGATCCCTGAATTGCAAAGTTAACGTTTTTGATAAAAGTTAAAAAGTACTAAATAACCTGTCCCACAAATATGAAGTAAGAATGATGCATCACAGAACAAACAAATATTTAACAGGCGAAATTGAGCCAGCCATCGGCTGGAAACTATCAAGCAACATAAAATGCTTCACAGGAGACTGAAACAAATGATCGTCTGGGTAAATTATGATGGAAAGCCAGCTGCTAATTTCTGGGATTTCAACAAGGAACCTCAAGCACTGGTACAATATATTGCACACTATGGCATAAAATTGCAGGAGTGAAATTTTCATTTGAAAACAAGATAAAAACATACAGCATGAATGTTAAATGCTCATTCCAGACACCTGAAGATAAAGATGGAGATCAACAGAGACAAAACTCCCGCAAATATACTGCAAGGGAACGTTCACTTCTGTTGCCTCACATCATTCTTTTCATATTCAAATATCCTCTTTCCAACTTTCAACAGTCATTTCATGCATGTCTATCATGTTAGTGTGCATTTCAACAGTCTGGAATGCAATTCAGATGACATTAGTATGAATATGAATTCAGAGATACGATACAAACATTCATGAAAAATTTCCTTTTTCCTTATATAATGCGAGAAGAGAACAAAAACTAAAGTCACCAGAAATATTCATTATATGTAACTTAAACCATAAATCTGAAAAGAACTAGACAGAGCTTGAGCTCAATTCCTACATTGACGAAAATCAGAGCAATTGAAATTAGGAGATTACAATATACAAAACCTCTTAGTTTGCATTTATGTATGTGCAATCATTTAATCATTTTTGGGCAGCATGTGTAAGAGCTGTCATAGCCAATTAATTGAACTATCTGAAATGTCACACATGTTTTACATAACTGCTTCAAATATAGGCAGAATAAAAAATAAACATTACAATGCAAGGCTCAAGTATCACTAAAAACTTACTTGTACTTCTGTTCCACCTTGTAGACATCAGGAGCTAATTCTCGACATACTTCACACCAATCAGCATAGAACTCCACAACAGTAGGCTTCCCATTAGAAAGAGCCTAAACAACCAGAACCCAAAGAAAAAGCAAAGAAAGAAAAATGAGGAATTGATGGTGCATAAAGTGATTCAATACAGAACCCAAAGAAAAAGCAAAGAAAGAAAAATGAGGAATTGATGGTGCATAAAGTGATTCAATACTATGAGGAGCTTGAAGATTCATAAACGGAAACAAATAATTAAAAACCTTATTGCTGACAAAAAAGCAGTTCTCACCCATGTTTGGCTCATGTTTATAAACCGATTATTAATGCTCATCTACTTTTTATTCACATATTCCAAGGGACCGACAAGCCCATTCATCCACCACTCATTTCTATCTATTTGTATTTAAACTGATTATAAACACTTACTATTTCCCAAACATGCTTTTAGTGACGTTAAAATAAATAATTAACGGAAAGGCCTTTGCCTACACGTCAATATCGTTCTTTTGTAATATATATAGCTGTAATTTTAATTAGAGGATCGAATCTACGAAATTTCATGAGAGCTCTCAAGAAAAGAGATACTATTTCTGTTATCATCATAAATCAAGTTAACCAAGATTTTATTCATTTTCAGATAACTAGAATCTATCATGTATCTTATGATGTGAAAATGTTGCTACATGAAGTGTCAAAATATTAATAAACCCATTTCAACTCTTTCAAGCAAGATTATTTAATTGTTTATATGCTCATATATTGAGCAAACCTCTTCATACGGTAATGCTGCAGCAGAGAGGTCCTTCAAAGATACACCAAAGTCCAAACGAGCTGACAAGAAAAGTCCGACAGCTGCAATTACAGAAACCACAGCAATCTGCCTATTCAATTTCTTGTCCGGATACTCTGGAAATCCAGCACCTACTGATGAAGCAGCTGTTTCTTTACTGGAGTTAGCTATGTTACCGTCATTTTCAGATTCAGGTTCTAATAACACCTTTTCCTGCACAAGCTGCAGACATATTAGGGATAGAAACCAAACCAATATATCAGACCGCAGCTAAAACTCTGCAATAATTTCAAGCAGACCGAACGCTAAACACCAGTTCAATTCCAGTGCATCTCGAGTTCAAACTCGATTTCGAGCTCAAATTATCCATGCAAACTATATAGGCTTGTCCAGAACAAAAGTTAACAAAAAACTAAATAACATTATAGCAGCATGTCGATTTCTCAAATTGATACAAAAGAAAAACGTCATTACAGTTTCGACAACAAGTTACAATAATTTCATTGAAGAAAGTGATAATCAATTAGGGGGAATTAACTAGCATGCCTCTGTTGTACTGGAGTCAACTGAATTGGGGTTGCTTTGGCAGAAAATTCTGTGAAGTCTGCGAGTCTTATTCCGCGATTGGAGAGAGAAATTCACGAAAAAAGGAGATTGATGGTGGAAATGGAGATAATAGGGGCGGAGTCTGGGGAAGCTGACGGCGCTGGAAGTTGTAGCCACTCGAGCCATGGCGGCGAAAGAGGGACGGTTTTCTTTGTGGAGCAAACAACTCAACGTATACTCCACGCTAGCGGATACGTATTATTCTATCGAGATATATCTTTAGTACCTTTGACTCGCAAGGGAAGCGGGTTTTACGGTCACTGCAATGTGAACTAAAATCGCCAGAGGGTAAAACGTTTTCATTTTTCCACTGTGATTAAGGCAATTTTGATTTAATTAAGCGCCTGTTTGGCGTGGATTAATATTAAGATTAGATTTTGATAAATGTAAATGAAATGTATGGTTAAAATATTATGTGATGATGCTAAAAATTGTACCTATTGATTTCCCGAAATTGAGGACTGAGATCGAGCACGAACGGAGCCTTCCAGTACTTGAAACAAAGGCAACGGGGTGTGTCCTCGTCGCCCATCCGATACTTAAGTCAGATGGGAAAATTATGTAAAAGTATGTATTGTAATTGTATTGTAAAAACATACCTGAATAATGGGACTAGGTCTTGTATTTATAGATGTTGGTGATTGAGTTGTAGAAGGATTCAACCATTTAAAGTTCTTATCCTCATCAGATAGAGTAATTGAGTTATAAGAGGACTAAAACACGTAAAAAGTGTTGAGACGAGGACCATATTTTGGCATGTGGGCCTGACCTTAGCGCCCATCCGATACTTAAGTCAGATGGGAAAATTATGTAAAAGTATGTATTGTAATTGTATTGTAAAAACATACCTGAATAATGGGGCTAGGTCTTGTATTTATAGACGTTGGTGATTGAGTTGTAGAAGGATTCAACCATTTAAAGTTCTTATCCTCATCAGATAGAGTAATTGAGTTATAAGAGGACTAAAACACGTAAAAAGTGTTGAGACGAGGACCATATTTTGGCATGTGGGCCTGACCTTAGCAGGGCCAGATTATTAGGCCCGACTTTTAAGAGGCCCGACCACTTTTTAGAGGATATTTGAAGACGAGAGTGGTCGAGGTATTGACCTTGGGCCATGCTTGAAAGTTCGGGGTTGGGCTATAATTTTTGTACACGTCATAGGCTCCCGTACATCCATGTCAGGAGCTCATGCGCAATGTGAGAGTTCCTTGCATGAGATGCATAAGTATATTAAGTTCTAGAATAAGCATGCTCATATCGAGTCGATAGGCCCCCGAGCACATAGGTCTAGGATAACAAGTATTGACTATTTAAAATTTGAAAGGAATAAGCTCGATCTTAAGGCTTAATATGAATTTTGAAAGAAAGGACTTGATCCTGCCTTTGTTGAAATTTTGGAGAGAACTGAGTTCGACTTCGACCTTGTAAAAGAATTTGGCATGAATCAGCTCAACCTCAAGCTTTATCAGTACTTGAAGTGAAAGAGCTTGACCTCTACCTTGTTTAGAAGTTGAAAAGAACGAGCTCGACCTCGACCTCGAGCTTCGTTAAAAGTTTTGGAAGTAATGAGTTTGACGAATAGACAAAGTTTCATATAGGAGGCTAAGTGGAAGCTCAATCCTATTCTGAATATATTTATCTCAAGCTTGTTGGCTGGGATTTGACAATAATTTGAGTTCCAGAACATAACCCGAGTCCAATGTGAAATATTATCCTGAGCTCTTGTGGCTGGGTTTTTGACAATATGTTGACCTCGAGGATAGGCCCCCCGAGCCGAACATGAAATAATATTTCGATTTTTGCTCTGATGAATTTGAGAATAGGTCGAGCCTGGCAAGCTCGAGATAGACCATGGTTGGGTTTTTTACTTGATGCATTGCGAGACTTAGAGGTGCTTGCGTGGGACAAGACTTAGGTGCCTACGCATGACATGGCTTTTGTTGGTGCCTGCCTGTGATAGGGTTTTTGTGCTTGCATGGGGCAAGACTTTGATGCCTGCGATGGATAGGGCTTTTGTGCTTGCGCGGGTCAAGGCTTTTGATGTGCTTGCTCGTGACAGGGCTTTGGTGCCTATTCGGGGCAGGGCTTTGAGGTGCCTGCTTGGGGCAGGGCTTTGATGTACCTACTCAAGGCAAGGCTTTAATGTGCCTGCTTGTGACAGGGCTTTTGGTGCTTGCGCGGGATAGGGCTTTGTGTTGCTTGCTTTTGATAGGACTTTGGTATGCCTGCCCGGGGCAGGGCTTCAGGTGCCTGTACGGAGTAGGGCTTTGTGTGCTTGCGCGGAGTAAGGTTTTGTGGTGCTTGCATGAGATAGGGCTTTGAGGTGCCTGCACGGAGCAGGGCTTTGTGGGCCTGCGCAGAGCAGGGTTTTGTGTGCCTGTGCGGAGCAGGGCTTTGTGGTGCCTGCACGGGATAGGGCTTTGAGGTGCCTGCGTGGAGCAGGGCTTTGAGGTGCCTATGCGGAGCAGGGCTTTGTATGCCTGCGCGGAGTAGGACTTTGTGGTGCCTGCACGGGACAGGGCTTTGAGGGACAGGGCGGAGCAGGGCTTTGTGTGCCTGTGCGGAGTAGGGCTTTGTGGTGCCTGCACGGGACAGGACTTTGAGGTACCTGCATGAAGCATGGCTTTGTGTGCCTGCGCGGAGCAGGGCTTTGTGGTGCCTACGCGGGACAGGGCTTTGAGGTACCTGCGCGGAGCATGGCTTTGTGTGCCTGCACGGAGCAGGGCTCTAAGGTGCCTGCGCGGAGCAGGACTTTGTGGTGCCTGCATGGGACAGGGCTTTGAGGTGCCTACACGGAGCAGGGCTTTGTGGTGCCTGCACGGGACAGGGTGTCAAGGACCGCAGCTTTACTTAGCCCCTTGACACTATCGCAGCCGCAGTTTGCCCAACTTCGGCCGCACATTGTAAATATTACTTTAAGTTTGAGTTGTAATTTTCGTTTCATTGTAATAGTTATTTTAATTGTAAAATAGCTCTGATATTGGTAAAAGATTAGTATGATTCCTCGTCTTTTAAACGTCTCTCCCGTCACTTGGGTTTTTGTTCAGAATGCTATTATAGGGGGTATTAGTCATTCAAAAATCTTTCAAACTCACTGGTGTCCGCCCCCTGCACCAGCATTTGTAATTTTCTGCTTTCATCAATTGTAATGTTCAGTTTTCAGCAATCAATGTTCAATTTACTTTCAATGTATTCAAATTCTCAATTGTAAGCTTTCTACAAAATTGCAATCAAATTTTCTTTCGTCCCGACGCGACCGAGAAAAGGCGGAAGGTAGTCTAGCGGAGCAGACTACTGCCGCACGGTGTCCCTTTCTGTGCCAAGAAGAAAGGCACCCCGTGAAACAGGGTTTTGAGGTGCCTGCGCAGAGCAGGGCTTTAAAATGCCTGCGCGGAGCAGAGCTTTGTGTGCCTGCGAGGAGCAGGGCTTGAGGTGCCTGCACGGAGTAGGGCTTTGTATGCCTACGCTTAGCAAGGTTTTAGGTGCCTGCCTGGAACAGGGCTTTGATGGAGCACTTTGTGTGAGTGAACCAAATGTTATTGTAATTCATAACCAAATAATCATACCATAAGCATGAGCATTGATAACACCAAAATATATGCTTTTCAAGGATTAAAACACAGATAATGTATGTTGTGTGATTGGTGTCTTTTAAATATCCATAATATTTATTTTGGGATGTACGCATGAGCTACTATTCTAATCTCAACTAATTATGATGGTTTGCTCCACATTAGTAACAATGTAAAAGATATAAGCAAGTAGTGGTTCTATAATATTTTCAATGCATAGCCTTTGTTTATTAAAATGTAAATCAATAAAATCATTAAAAGTTCCAACACTTATTTAACTTAACAAATCAATTGCTTAAGTGCATTCTTAATTTAGAATTGCAAAGTTTCCATCTTTCATAATGATGATTAATTCTTGAAGCTATGGCCTTCGAGTGATGTAAAACTCTGTGAAATTATTTAAATGTTTTGAATTGGTGTCCAAGTAAAACTTTCCACATGAATTATTCATATTTTTCATTTTGTTAACTATTGTCAACAGGCAAGGGATGAATGCAAAGAATTTTACTTGAAGGTAAGCTCCGTTTTTATATTTTTATAATTAAGTGCATGCATATTCCCATAGACTAGGTGAAACTACATTATATTTTCCTCTCCATATCAATGTATAAATGGCTTGCTATCAAAATGTGAACGTGTTAAGAAAATGAGAAGGCTAGCATGGTCACATATCCCTAGTTGAATTGCTTGAAGAATATAAATTTGCAACAGAATAAAAAAGTGAATACCACTATTAGGTGAAAACATACCCGGGTTTAGAGCTGAGTGCTGCGTATTTTCATGGTAAAACCTTAACTTATTCGCATTATTTCCAGTTTGCGTGCACTTGCAAAAAAATAATTCCTTTGAGATGATTGAGATTTGTATGCCATCCACGGTACCATCAAAAGTTATAGCAACACATTTCAAACATCTCTCACATTTTGCCATAGCAAATAACTTCTTGGAGCCACTAAATTTATGTCATTATCTCAAAGAATAGCCACGGTTAAGTAATTGTGAGGGGTAGGGAATCCAACTTCAGCTAGCATTTTTAATTTTTTTTTATCAATTGGCCTAAGTAAAGTAATTGTAGCAGCCAATGGAGGAGAAAACGGATCAAGGAGAAAAAGAAGCATGCAGGGAGCTGGAATGCTTCATCCGGGCTCAACGATGCAATAATAATGCAAAGCCCATAATGGAGACCCAAAATAGAAACTATAGGGTGTTGGTATGTCCAATTTAGCATTGTAGCATAAGGTAATTACTGTGATCCAAAATGGGGGAAGGCAAAACCAATATTGAGGCAGACAATAGGCCAAAAATCTTTAGGTAGGTTGAAAAGTTAGTACGCCCAAAAAAATTAGTGCAACCCGATATTGAATAGGCATTTTACCCTAATTCTTGGGCTCAATTTATGTAAAATTTTGGCCCAATTCACTATTCAAAACAGGTTGAATTTTGGCATATATTCCGAGACTAACAAATTGGAGTTGCAGAAGATGATACACGGTTCTCCAACGACTACTCCACTTGGGTCCTTTTTGTTTTGCATGAAAAACAACGAAAATTCTTCTCCAAAAGCCAACAGAGAGATGGGAATCGAGGATTTTCACAGTAAACTCCAATTGTAAAACGAAACCCATATTATCTTTCGTGTTTGGAGCAATAATGAAGAGAGAAAAGAGAGGATGGAAATTGAATTGTGTAGGTAAACAGTAAACTGATGTTGGAAGTATCTCGATGAATTATGAGTTCCATTGATGTTTATTGGAGTGATCTTTCTTCATTTTGGAGTTTGTTCAAAAGGAGATCAGAAGCAAGAAGATTGGATCTGAGAACTGAGTTTTTGAATTCGGCCCTATTTTAATTTGATATGTACATCTTTTTGTCTACGTTGGACTTTGAAATCATTCAGAAGGCAGAAATATCTCTTTGAGCTTCTTGGTTGAGGAACTGTCTGAAATTATTGTCCTTCCGGTGACTTTTTGAATGTGGTAAAAACATGGTTAATGTGTTGCTTCCTACAGACGGCGCCACTGATGATGCAAAAATTGTACCTGTTGATTTCCTGAGATTGAGGACTGAGATCAAGCACGAACGGAGCCTTCCAGTATCTGAAACAAAGGCAACGAGGTGCGTCCTTGTCGCCCTCCGATATTTAAGTCAGACGGGGAAATTATGTAAAAGTATGTATTGTAAAAACATATCTGAATAATGAGGCTATGTCTTGTATTTATAGACGTTGATGGTTAAGTTGTAGAAGGATTCAACCATTGAAAGTCCTTATCCTCATCAGATAGAGTAATTGAGTTATAAGAGGATTAAAACACGTAAAAAGTCTCGAGACAAGGACAATATTTTGGCATGTAGCGGGGCCAGATTATTAGGCCCGACCACTTTTTAGAGGATACTTGAAGACGAGAGTGGTTGAAATATTGACCTCGGGCCATGCTTGAAAGTTCGGGGGCGGGCTATAATTTTTATACACATCATTATGGATCCCTTAAAATGTATTGTTAAAATTAATTGTTAATTTAACTTAAAATTTTTATTAAATTGTAATTTACAGCAAACATGAGTTAAATGTAATGATGTAAAATCCACTTGGTTGACACATAAATTTGAGAATAATCACATGCGCCTGTCACGACCCCTTGTTTGAATAGCACGACCCTAAATTTGAATTAAACACTATTAGCATTATATAGCATTTCTCGATTAATATAAATCCAACTAAATAATTAATTATTAAAATTCAACAAAATCATCAATATTTTCACCATACAAACATTATTACAATCTAACTATTAATTTAATTGCTTCATGATTTCTTAGCTTCTGGACCTAAAATCCCATTCACTATACTTGTGGCAATCAAAACTCCAACTGCCTCCGCGCCCGCCACAGCCCCCGCCTGTGCCAGCCCTCCAAAGCTCACCGCCGTTGTGATCTCCTTCTCCGCCGCCTCTATCCCCTCCTCTGCCGCTTCTACTCCCTTCTCTGCCGCCTTTATTCCTTTCTCTGCAGCCACGATTCCCTTGTCAGCTGTTTCGAATCCTTCCTTCACCAGCTCCTCTGCTTCCTTCTCCACCTTCTTCAGTCCTTGTCTCAGTCCGAACAACGGTATGTCCACTGCATTTGATGGCTTTTGCAGTGTATTCAGTGCCGTTGTAGCGGTTAGAAGCAGCAAGCAATTTCTGCGGCTGGGAAGCGCCACCTGTGAGTGTCCAGTAGTGTGAGCCACGCGGGGATCAGGATGCGAACTGCGCACGCGACGTATTGGAAGAGCCTGTGCTAGTACAGTGGAAGCCATTGTTTCTCTCAGCAAACAGTGAAACTAATCCTCTCAATTGAAAATAATTGATTGTGTGGCCTGGCATCCTCGAATTAACGGAGCAAAAAGACAGAAATCCCCACAATAAATAAAAAGAAAAGGAAGAAAAATAAAAATAAGGTATTTGGAAAAATCGCGGTGGAGGTCACTCATTTTTTGAAATTGTGCAACTAACAACACCATCTCCAATCCTGTATTTCTTTCTTTTCCAGTGAATAATCTATTAATCGACTGATGCTAATCGCTGGTGAAATTAAATAACATTATTATTTTTGAATGAAGTTATAATATGGAGTCCGTGTAATTAGTTTATGCTCAATGAATTTGTTGATGGATAAATGTTTACAAATGATGAATCAATTGTTGGAATAATTAATAATTTCATATGTGGGTTTCACATTCGATTGTAAAATTTTACGGGTTAGATATATGACTCATAATGATAATTGTGTTTGAGCCAAATTTATTAAGTGATCAATTGAGCCTTTTACACCTCACGTGTTGTAATTAATTTGATGTGGTAATTTAAAGTATGTGGGTCGGAAATAAACCCTAATTAAAATTCTAATCGTAATGGGACAGCTCAAATTATTTCCTATATATAGGCTATGTTCCCTCTCCTCTCCATATATGTTTTCATTAGCTTGTCTCATTGATAACTAATACTTTTGTGAGGAGTAAGGAGGGGAAAATTTTGACTGCTATTACAATTACTATTCATATCAACAATGGTTTTCGTAGGTATGAATTCGATTTATCAATTTATTATTTTGTGATTCTTGATTCTTGGCATGATTACAAATAAATATTAACAATTGATATCAGAACTTCATGTCAAGATCAAAATCCATTATTAAAACAAATTCAATCTCGATTGTTTCAAACTTTGACTTTGCATTAAGTTTTCATGTGCAGATTTCTGTGCGTATAATTTCGTGGGTACATAATTTAACACATCTAAAGAAATCCAAAACCCAAAGAAGACCCGTTTCCTTCTTCTGTGGCACATACTTTGCCTTTTATGTGACTTTCTCCAAATCCATGGCTGTGTTTCTCCTTACTGCATGTAAATTAACCCTACCCAAATTCAAATAAAATTCTGAAACCAAATCCCTAAACCAGAATATGTAAGACATCTTTTCTCCTACCCATGGTCGAAACCGTCGGAGCCCAACTAGTTTCGTCTGTAGCAAGGACGACACCGGGATCAACATGCTTTGGTGTCCGACCTTCTCGTCGACGTCATTGCACGTGAGATTCACTGACCTTGATTGGGTTCTCACATCCTTCCAACGAGACGAATTAGGTTGACATCCCCATGGTTAGCTGTCTGCTGTTCTTAATTATTATTATTATTTTTAGTTGTCGGTATTTCATTTTTCTTTTTCCTTTGATGAATTAATTGGGATGAGAATTGATGTTGTTAAATGAAGAAATCTATTGAACTTGGAATAGAAGAAAAGGAACCAGCAGCTATTGTTATATGTTTGCATATTTTTATTATTATTTTTCCCTTTCTTATTAATGTTGAATCTTTATTATGTTTAAGAAGGGATCAAATATGTATGATGTGCAAATCGGACAGTGGTTCTTGTTAGGGTTTGATAAAGAAGCCGAATTGAGTGGTGGAATTAAGGCTGTTTCGGTCGGCTATGATGTTTTTGGGGGAGGCGTCTCTCTTGCAATTAATGAGATGAGAGGCCCCTGTCTCCAATTAGAGATTGGGGTTAAGATTGTAAATAATAAAAGGAGGACATGTCATCCAATTTATATAATTAAAAGGGCCTATTAATAATTTTAGACCAGGGGTCATGTTGCAAATTTTTGAATGGGTTTTGACTCTAAAATTTCAATTTTGACCCAAATTAAAAATTTTATTTAAAATTAACCCGCTAAAAATTATGTGGATAATAATAATAATAATTGACGACTTTTATATTTTCGTCAAAATGTGTAAGTCAATTGTTGTTATTATTTGTTTATTTAAATTCCACTTTTCAAATATTGAAATTTTGTTGCCCATTTTGTCTCTCAATCATATATATAAATTCTGCTGTTTATCAATTAATGATTATAATTTGTTCCATGATTATTATTTTGTGATTGAATTTTTCTACGGGCCTTACAACGATTCTTGTTTTCCCACTAAGAGAAATTTTTTGTTGCATATAATATCTTGTCCAAAGGTGTTATTATATGTAATATTTTTGGAAAATGGCATGAGAAAGTTAAAGAGCTTATTTTGGTTTAGAAATTTTCTTTTGCCCAAAAGTGTTGGTGTTTCGAAAATCAGTGTAATTTTGTTAACTGGCTACATGATATGTTTTAAGAGTACCTTATAGCATGTTGTATTGTCGACCCAAAGGTGACTTTATGATGATGCATCTACACTCTTACCGTAATAAAATTTATATGTTTCGATTTAAATTACGGATTATATAATTAATAGCCCATATTAATTAGTTGGATATTTCATCATCCATTTGATTGCATGCATTAAGTTTGGATGATATTAAAAGTGATATTTTATGTTTCCACAGTTTATAATGCCTCATCTCTTTCGAATCAATTGTCTGCTATTGAAACTTTGACTGGGAATAACTATGTGAGATGGAAACGAGACGTAGAAATAGCACTTGATCTTTTGGGCTTGGATTTTGCAATGGAGAAAAAGCTTGAAAAACCCACAGATAAGAGTACCGTTGAATATAGCCGAGCATGAAAAGTGGGAAAGGGCTAACAAACTCTGTTTGAAAATCATTAAGCGATCGATATTTGATTCCATTCTAGGTGCCATCCCTGATAATGAAAATGCCAAAAGTTTTATGGATGTCATAGGAGAAAAATTTATTGAGTCTGATAAAGCCGAAACTGGGGATCTGATGGATAAATTTATGAGCATGAAATATGATGGTACAAGTGGTGTTAGGGTGCATGTCATGAAAATGATAAATATATCATCTAAGCTAAAGGCTCTTGACATTCCCATTGCGGAGCTTTTCCTGGTCTATCATCTTTTAAATAGCCTTCCTAGGAAGTTTAATCAGCTTAAGGTTGCTTACAATGCTCAGCGGGATAAGTGAAATTTGAATGACGTCATAGCAGTGTATGCCCAAGAAGAGTATAGGATGCGTCGTGAAACTGTTGAAACTGTGCAATTAGCTTTTCAACCATCACAGAATAAGGGGCCTTCTCATAATCATAAACCTAAGTTTCGTAAGGGTAATAAATCTCACCGAAGTCAACAGAATAAAAATTTTAGTGGTGCCAAAGGAGTTATAAAGAAAAATGATCAATGCAAGTTATGTAAAAAGAAGGGTCACTGGCAGAAAGATTGTTTTAAATTCAAGACTTGGTTGGAAAAGAAGAAGAGTTCTCCAGGTATTCCCTTGGCCTTAGTTTGTTTTGAGTCTTATTTAGTAGATGTACCTTTGAATTCTTGGTGGTTAGACTCGGAAGCTAGTATTCATATTGCGAATTCCTTGCAGGGGTTCATAAGCAAACGGAGGCCAAGTGAGAATGAAGTAAGCTTGAGCGTTGCAAATGGATTTCAAGTGAAGGTTGAATTCATAGGAGTAGTGAAGTTAACTTTAGAGTCTGGTTTTTATTTTGTTTTGGAAAATACAGTTTATGTACCGCAGATGAGACGGAATTTAATTTCTATACCAAAACTTGATGCTTGTGGTTTTACATTTAATTTTGGTAATGGAATGGTTAAGTTATTTAATAATTCTCGTTTGATTGGGAATGACATTTTATGTGATGGTTTATATAAATTATCTTTAGCTTCTTCTGGTGATATCTCGTGTGTTACAAATGTATTAAAGAAAAGGGCTTTAATTCGTGAATCATCCTCTATGTTGTGGCATAAACGATTGGGTCATATTTCTAAGGATAGAATGGAAAGATTAGTAAAAGATGAGATACTTCCTTCCTTAAACTTCTCCGATTTTGACACTTGTATAGATTGTATAAGAGGAAAGTTAACTAAGTCTACGAGGAAGGGTTCGACTAGGAGTAATGGAATTTTGGACTTAATTCACACTGATATCAGTGGACCTTTGCTTTCCACTATATGTGAGAATAAATATTTCATAACTTTCATTGATGATTTCTCACAATATGGATATGTTTATCTAATTAACGACAAATCACATGCACTTGAGAAATTCAAAGTTTTCAAATTGGAAGTAGAGAAACAATGTGAAAAAAGTATCAAAGTTGTAAGATCTGACTGAGGTGGTGAGTACTATGAGAAATATGACGAGTCTGGTCAAAATATGGGTGATTTTGCAAAATTTTTACAAGAGTGTGGAATAGTGCCCCAATACACCATGTCAGGGACACCTGAGCAGAATGATGTTTCTGAAAGACGTAATCGAACTCTAAAAGATATGGTTAGAAGTATGATGAGTAGAATAAATTTGCCTGAATATTTGTGGGGTGAAGCCTTAAAAATAGCTATGTATATTTTGAACAGAGTTCCAAGTAAAGCTGTTGCAAAGACACCTTTTGAATTATGGACAGGACGTAAGCCAAGTATGGCTCACTTTAAAGTTTGGGGAACGAAGATCTGCATTGCCCAGTGATTATATTGCATATTTATTGGAGAACGATTTTAATATTGGGCATATTGTTGATCCTGTAACTTATAACCAAGCATTGACAAGTCGTGATGCAGATAATTGGATAGCTGCCATGGAAGATGAAATGAATTCCATGGAAAGGAATAAAGTTTGGGATCTTGTTGAACTTCTTCCAGATGCTAAGGCTGTAGATAACAAGTGGATTTTCAAAAGTAAATTAGATTCAAAAGGAAATGTTGAACGAAAGAAAGTAAGATTAGTTGCAAAAGGTTTCACTCAACGTGAGGGCATTGATTATATTGAAACCTTCTCCCCTGTTTCATCGAAAGATTCTTTTCGAATTATCATAACTCTTGTGGCACACTACAATTTGGAGTTTCATCAAATGGATGTTAAGACAACTTTTTTGAATGGAGATCTTTCTGAAATGGTTTATATGAAACAACTTGAAGGTTTTGTTGTAAAAGGAAAAGAAAACTTAGTGTGTAAGTTAAACAAATCCTTATATGGTCTCAAACAAGTATCTCGACAGTGGTATTTGAAGTTTGATGAGGTTGTGACATCTCTTGGTTTTGTTGAAAATACTATTGATCAATGCATTTATCTTAAAACCACTGGAAGAAATTTTATTTTCCTTGTACTGTATGTTGATGACATTCTGCTTGCTAGCAGTAATTTAAGGTTGCTTCATGAGACAAAGAAAATGTTGTCTGCTAATTTTGAGATGAAAGATTTTGGAGAAATTTCCTATGTATTTGGCATTGAAATACATCGTGGTAGAAATCATGGCTTTATTGGGACTTTCTCAGAAAGTTTATATACGACGTGTTCTAGAAATGTTTAATATGCAGAATTGTGCACCTGGTGATGTACCTATCATAAAAGGAGATAGTTTAATAAAACTCATTGTCCAAGGAATGAGTTGGAAAGGGAGCCTATGAAGATGATCCCATATGCTAGTGCTGTGGGGAGCTTGATGTATGCTTAAGTTTGCACTAGACCGGATATAGCCTACGTAGTAAGTGTCCTTAGCAGATTTTAGTCTAATCCATGACAAGAGCATTGGAAAGCAGTTAAGAAAGTTATGAGATATTTGAAGAAAACTGAAAGTCATATGCTTATATTCCAACGTACAAATCATCTTGAGGTGGTAGGATATTCAGATTCTGATTTTGCTAGATGTCAAGATGATTTGAAATCAACCTCAGATTACATTTTTACATTAGCTGGTGGTGCCATTTCTTGGAAAAGTGCTAAACAGACTCTAGTGGCATCTTCTACTATGCAAGCTGAATTTGTGGCATGTTATGGGCTTACAGTCCAAGCCGTTTGGTTAAGAAATTTCATCTCTGGCTTGAAAGTTATTGATTCCATCTCAAGACCGATCACCATCTACTGTGATAACAGTGCAGCAGTATTCTTTTCAAAGAATAATAAAAGTTCTGGTAGATCAAAACATATTGACATCAAATATTTGGTTGTTAGAGACAGAGTCAAAAAAGGGCAGACGAAAATAGAGCATATCAATACAGAGGCGATAGTTGCAGATCCCTTGACTAAGGGACTCGCTCCAAAAGTCTTTAAGACACATGTTACTAATATGGGTATTGTGGAAACATTTGATATTTTTGGTTAGTGGGAGTTATTTATGTAAAGAACTACGTTTTGGGCTTGATCCCTTGCGGGGTAGTAGGCAACCCATATGTTTTCGGGTACAGTCCCTTCTGATAATAAAATAATTTTTCCCCTATCCATGAACTATTTTTAAGCATGCATTTGACTTATGTCTTTTTATATTATTGACATCTTGAAATATGACGTATAAAGACATAAGATGAGTCTCTTTTAGAGACATGTGGCTTCATTTTGATTCGAAGCATTATGAGGACCGATATGAGTTAGCACAGTTTTTTATCA